ACCAAAAATATGTGCTTTTATTTACAATTCCCAAAAGTGAACCAAAACAACAAATTAATCCAAAGTAAATAAACGGTAAGTAAAGCAAAAATATACTATATACATTATATACAACACTGAGACGAAAACAAAGATGGAGAAAAAACAGAAGAGCTGGCAGAAGGGATGCGGGCAGTGCTAAAGAAATGAAAAGAACAAAACCCAAACTAAATCTAACTTCCCAGAAGCATCTAGCTAATTAACTATGTGAAAACAAAATAATTAACACGCGAAGAGTCTTCCGAGTCCTGACTGTCTACTCTATCTATCTATCCAAAAGGTACAAGGGGTGGCGCTTGCCACTAACCTAATGTACTCAAAATACCAAATGTATGTCACGTGACCTTCTTACCTGTCCGCTTCGTCTAAGCCTCGTAAACAACGTAAACTGAGGAGGATATACGAATAACGGACGGATAATGTGGACACAGAAACAGGCAACAACAAAATATACAGTTAGACGGGAATTTCCTTAACACAACGCGATAAACACGGAAACAAGCGGAAAAAGCAGAGGAAGAGAAGTCATGGAGGAAATCAATGACAGCTGAATAGACCAATGAACGGAACCTGAGAATAATGAAAGCAGAGAGAGGAAAAAACACAAACAGAGCAAAAATAACACAAATACATAACACCCCCACCCAGGAGAACAAACATGTAATATTGTTTGTTAAAAAAACTTCTGAAATAGAAATAAAAATCGCAAAACAAACCTCAGAAACCACTCTCAGAAAGAGGGATCCAATGTTGAACCAAAGAAGGTAAAATCCATGTCAGTGGGGCAGCACTTTTTTAGGAACAGAACTGCACCTTAAGACCATTGTACCATTGCAGTTTGTACCTTTAAGGACAGGATTTTTTCCATGGGAAACCAAATTGTACCTTTGTTTTTTAAAACCTGCAGATACAATATTGTACCTTCATCAAAGCTACAAATCTGATCCATGAAGGTACCACTCGGGGTTTCCATGGGGTCTTACAGTCTTAAAATGTCTTAAATTTCAGAAGCAAAACTTTTGCGCTGTATGCTCTTTTTCGCATCTCAAATGTCTCTCGTGAGTGCCGTTCGCACCCGCGCTGTTCTTGCGTAAACCCACCAGAGGCCGCTGTCGACCAACCGTCTGTCTGACTGACTGAATGACTGGGCGACCCACCCCCCTCCTTCCCTAAACCCAACCAATTTTACCGATTGACCCGCCCACCCACTTACTTCCCTAAACCCAGCCGACGGTTTACAAAAGCCGTCCAGAAAAAGAAAACCCCTCATCTGAATTTTACCATGTTTTCAGATTTGACCACATTCTCACACTGTTGTTGACTTGTTCATTTTGTTTTTTGGATTCTGTTTTTGTCTTGCCTGATTTCTGGAACCGCTCTTCCCTGGTCGTCTTTGTGGTCATTGTGGTCAGCTCTTCTTTGCGTCTCAAGTCCGCCGACGTACATGACGTACATAACTGGACAAACTGGTTATGGTGGGAAAGCCTTCCACACGGAGGTAAGCGGTCAACCGGTAAGCGTGTAAAGGAACGGCGTCACACTGCTTGTTGTGTTAGCTTAAAAAAATGAAATGCAGCAGCTATACGTACCTCCGGCTACATAATTCGCAGTCTTCAGAAATCTCCACGGGACTACGTTTTCAGGAAGAGCCCACCAACCAACAATACATCAGAATAATTTAAAAAAATGTGTTTGTGTGTGTGTGTGTGTGTGTGTATATATATATACATATATATATATATATATATATATATATATATATATATATATAAGTTTTTTTTATTGCAAAGAGAGATGTTTGTTTCACAACAGCTGTCAGACATTCTACAACATTTTTCAAAAAAATTAAACCCCTAATCAGGAAAAGAAAACTAAAAACCATTACACAATTCCTCATGATAACAACAGCAATATACCCCTTTACATAATCTTCTGTTTAGTAACTATTAACAGTAGAAAGTGTGAGCGGATATATAATATTTCTAAATAGGCGTGAAACTTACGGTTTTTGTTTTTAAAGAAACACATTAGGTTGAATAGGAGCTATACTCAATTCATTTGGACCAAAAGCAAACAAATGTGTTTTGTATTATTAATATACTTTTAACAATGTTAAACTTGCCATCAAAAAAGGAAAGATTATGTTGAAAAAAGTCTAGACAACTATAGTGTTTTTTCTTTGACACATTAAAATATGTGGGTAAGAAATAACTACAGTTTTTTTTTTTTCAATACCATTGGTCCAACCGGGCCATTACCAAAAATCTTTAGTGTTTAGCCCCATATAAGTCTAAAATCTCATTTATAATGGTCTGAAAAGGGTCTTAAAAAGTCTTTAAGTTTGAATTAATGAAACCTGCAGAAACCCTAACCACTACAGTGACAACTTTGTACACTTAACAGTGTCAAAAATGCTCACCAAACATTTTATTAAAAGCCTTAAATGTTGTTTACAGTACCTACAGTAGTCTTGTTTTATCAGTTGTTTTGTTTTTTAGACCCAGTAAGGTATACCTAATAAAGTGGCCGGTGAGTGTAGATGATTTCATTAAACTATAGATAAATATGCTGGATCCTGGTCATAAATGTTTGTTGCCAGTTGTGTTGTTTTATAGAACTTAATAATTGGTCTTTGAGTTTCTTTAAACATTTGCTTTTACATGATAGTTCATGTTTTATTATGGAAATTATTCATTAAATCACTTTGCCTTTCCAGTCATATATATTTTGATAGATATTGTAGTAAAGAAGCGGTTGTCCAACACTTATGTACCTTTTATATGGGACCAATTGTGTAGCTTCATTTCAGTTGTGCAATTAAAGGATAACAGTATCATAACAGGTATTTTCTGTTCCATCTGAGGTACAACTTTCACACAGATACAAAACTGTTCTTTACGGAGCATCATTTGTACCACAGTCTACCTTTTTTCAGAGAGTGCAGATATAATAGAACATTTTGAATATTGTAGATATTGGATGGCAACCACTGCTGTATCTAAAACATAGTTTAATTTACTGTGCATGTTAAACTCAATTTCCATAGTTTAATCACAGTGAGGCTCTGTATATCTGGCATGAGTGTGTGTTTGTTGCATTGACTGAGAAACTGATTTAAAAGCTGCTCTATTATTAATAAATACTAAACACACTTTACTATAATGTTGCATTAGTTTATGTTGAACTAAAATGACCTAATATTGAACAATACTTGTGCAGGATTTATTAATCATAGTCCAGCTTTACTAATGCGTTATTAAAACCCTTTAACATTAGTTAATAAACCGTGTTATGAACTAGCAATGGATGACTTACTGTAATAAATGTTTTGTTCATTGTTTGTTTATAAGCTTTAGCTAACATTGACTAATGCAACCAAAGTGTGAGCGATGAAAGGACAACACAATTCCTAAAACTGCTTATACGAATTATATACAGTATAAACAGTGAGAGTATCTTAATGAAACTAAAGTAATATGCCTTATTATTTTTAATACAAAATGACAAACAACACCATTACCGTGTGTGTGTGTGTGTAAAATATGTAAATTGTGACCAATTAACTAAAATAAATATTAAACTAACAAAACAATTCATAAAAGTATTCATTCAAATGTTGAATGTGTATAAAAAAATATAAATTTATATGCAAATTAAAACCATACCACCTTGAAACTAAAATAGCATGCCACAAATTTTATATTTTCAAAATTAATATACACTTACCGGCCACTTTATTAGATACACCTGTCCAACTGCTCATTAACGCAAGTTTCTAATCAGCCAATCATACGGCAGAAACTCATTTAGATATGTAGACGTGGTCAAGACGATCAGCTCCACATTCAGATACTCAGCTCAGAATTTGGCCTTAACAACATGAAAGCATGGATCATCCTGCCTTGTATCAGCGGTTCAGGCTGGTGGTGGTGGTGTAATGGTGTGGGGGAGATTTTCTTTGGGTTCATTAGTACCAATTGAGCATCAACGCCACAGCCTACCTGAGTATTGCTGCTGACCATGTCCATCCCTTTATGAGCACAGTGTCTCCATCTTCTGATGGCTACTTCCAGCAGGATAACGCAGCATGTCATAAAGCTCAATCATCTCAGACTGGTTTCTTGAACATGACGATGAGTTCACTGTACTCAAATGGCCTCCACAGTTACCAGAGCTCAATCCAATAGAGCAGCTTTGGGATGTGGTGGAACAGGAGATTGGCATCATGGATGTGCAGCCGACAAATCTGCAGCAACTGTGTGATGCTATCATGTCAATATGGAGCAAAATCTCTGAGGAATATTTCCAGTATCTTGTTGAATCTCTGCCATGAAGGATTAAAGCAGTTCTGAAGGCAAAAAGGGTCCAACCCGGTACTAGTAAGGTGTACCTAATAAAGTGGCCGGTGAGTGTAGATGATTACATTAACTATAGATAAATATGCTGGATCCTGGTCATAAATGATTGTTCTGTTTAACCAGACATTTCAGTAGTTTGATTGCAGTAATATATATGCTATATTGGTAACACTTCACAATAAGAGTACTGTATATTAGATAATGCATTTACTAACATGAGCAAACAATGAGCAACACAACTATTACAGAATTTGTTCATGTTAGTTAATCAAATCATTAGTTAATGTCATTCATTCTTCATTCACGCTAACTCACGGTGCATAACTAATAAAAACAAGCATGAGTTTGTATGTTAATAATGTATTAGTAATTGTTGAACTATGATTTAATTAAATGTGCACAAGTATTGTTCATTATTAATAAGTATATTCACTAATGAAGCATTATTATAAAGTGTGAGTGCCACCTTTATATATACAGGATATATATATATATATATATATATATATATATATATATATATATATATATATATATATATTTAAATTCCAGGACCCCGGGGTGATGAATAGACTTGTAAATGACTGATGCGCTGATATCGAGGGTGCTCTACCATTTATTTATAAAAAGTGTTGAATAAAATATACACCATTTACAAAAAAACAACAACATTTGGCAACACGTCTGGAGGCCGTTCCTCTGTCCTGTACTCTAGTGTCAAATTACATCAGTATCGGTTTTCTGGTTAAAATCCTTTTAAAAACCGATCTTCACAATAACTCCAGAGTACAATGAAACAGCCTCCTGGCCGCACACATACACACACACACACACACACACACACACACGTTCACAAAGGAAGAGTACCATACAAAAATAAAATAGGATATGTCTCCGATTGATACACAGATATATCTTTTCTTCTTTTGCAGTATTCTGAAATGAAATGCCAGGTTGTTTGGACATAAAACAGGAATAGAGAGGAGAAAAAGCACAACAGCTATCATGCGGTCACGTAAACATCTGTCCAGATAACTGTTTATGCATCAAAATAAACGCAGTCTGTAGCAGCATATGAAGATCTGATCTGATCAAGGCTGTGTTCAAAACCTAGAGAGAAAAATACAGCACCGGCGAGAGAGAGAGAGAGAGAGAGAGAGAGAGATGCTTTTCACAATCATTTTCACACTCTCACTCAATAATGCACTCAGATATCATTCACTGCATTTACTCTATTCTAAGGGAAGTGGTTGCAAACAAATTAAATGTTGAAATGTTCAGCTTAAATTCAGCCCGTATTAATTGTTTGCGTGCATTTACCTTAAAATAATAGAGTAAATATAATTATATATATAATATAATTCATTTGTTTAAGCTTTGTGCAAAATCTGTCAGTTTTTCAGAAGGTATGCTTTTACCGCACAGGTGAACTATAATACACTTTTGTACTTTAAACGATCACTTTTATACCTTTCTGATGCTAATATCTACTGTTAGGAAGATAGGAATATAAATGTACCATAGGAACCTGTTTTTCTGTGAGTGTGTAGATCAACGGGTTTATGCTTTACAGACAGAATTTTCATGACATTTTGAGCTTTCATTATTATTATTATTATTATTATTATTATTATTATTTAAAACCTTTTCTATCCTGCTGCCTTAATTTCTTCAAGTTGAACACAAGTTAAACTGAGTAAAAATAATTAAGTTAAACATTGCACTAAGATTTCCTATCATGACTTTATTTTTAACCGTTATTTTCTTTGTTATATCACAATCTCCACTGCGCTGAAAAGTCTTGCTGCCTTAATTATTTTTAGTTGAACATCAGTCAAATTGACTTTAAATATTAAGTTAAACGTGCTGCAAATTTCTGTTGAAATCTTCTTAAAACAGCTTTAAGTAAATATTTAAAAGATTTGCTGTCTTGTTGCCTTTTTCTTTAGTCATGTTAATTTGCTGTCATGGCTTGTTATTAAACTTTATCTTTTTTGCAGAGAAAATTTTTGCTGCCTTAATATTTTAGTCAGTTGGACCGATGTTCAACTAAAAACATTCAAGTTAAACTTTGCAAATAAAAATAGCTCAAATTTTAAGTTAAATTAATCTTAAAAAGATTTGCTATCATGACTTTTAATATTTTAAACTTTCCTTTTTTGTTGATCGCAATCTACACTGCGCTGAAAAGTCTTGTTGCCTTAATATGTTTATTTAAACATCAGTCAAATTGACTAAATATTGCTGCAAATTTTAGTTGAAATCTTCTTAAAACAAGTTGAAGTAAAAATTTAAAAGATTTGCTGTCGTGTTGCCTTATTCTTAAGTTATATTAATTTGCTGTCATGGCTTGTTGTTAAACCTTATCTTGTTTGCTAGATCACAGCCTACTCTGTAAAGAAATTATATGCTGCCTTAACATTTTTTTAAAGTTGAACATGAGTCAAGCTGACTAAATATAATGAGGCTAAACTTTGCAATATGATGTGCTATTGTGACTTTAATATTTTTTTATTGTAGATCAAGATCTACACTGTACACAAAAGTCTTGCTGCCTTAATAGTTTAGTCAGTTTGACTGATGTTCAACTTAAAAACATTAAGTTAAACTTTGCAAATGAAAAAATGTTTGATTTAATTTTAAAATATGTTAAATTAATATTAAAATTAAGGTTTGCTATCATGACTTTGACTCTTTCACCTTTATTTTCTTTGTTAGACCACAATCTACACTGCGCTGAAAAGTCTTGCTGCCTTAATATTTTTAGATGAACATCAGTCAGATTCACTTAAAATATTGAGTTAAACTTGCTGCGAATTTTAGTTGAAATCTTCCTAAAACAAGATAAAGTAAATATTAAATGGGTTGCTTGATTTATTAGTAATATTAGTTTCCTGTCATGATTTATTAAACCTTATCTTTTTTGCTAACCACAATCTACACTGCACAGAAAAGTCAAACTGCATTAATATTTTTATTCAATTTGACTGATGTTCAACTAAAAATAAAGTTAAACTTGCTGCCAATTTCAAAATAAATTATTTTAAATCTTCTTAAAGTTAAAGTAAATATTTAAAAGATATGCTGTCTTGTCGCCTTATTTCTTTTGTTTAAAATTAAACCAAGTAGTATTAATTTGCTGTCATGACGTTGATTTGGTCATATCATTTTCTTGTTAGTTAACCTTATCTTTTTTTGTTTAATCCCAGCCTACATTGTAAAGAAAAATGTCATCCACTTAATATTTTTAGTCATTTTGACTGTCATAAAAGTTGCATTATGTTAAACTTTGCAAATTTAAATAAAAGTAGCTTAAATCTTAAAGTAATATTTAAAAAAGAGTTGTTATCATGACTTTATTTCGAAACCTTTTGTTTCTTTGTTAAGGAGTAGTCTTACTGCCTTAAGTATTGTTAGATGGACATCAGTCAAACTGAATAAAATCTGCAACTTTCAATAAATATTTTAATTGAAGTCTTCTTAAAACAAGTTAAAGTAATATTTAAATGATTCGCTGTTTGGTTGCCTTGTTTATTTGGTAAAATAACACAAGTAGTATTAATTTGCTGTCATGACTTTTTTGGTCGTATCATTTTCTTGTTATCTTTTTGTTAGATCACGACCTACTCTGTACAGAAAAGTCTTGTTGACTTAATGTTTTTAGTCTGTTTGACTAGGGTTCAACAAAAAATATATAAATTAAGTCAATAAAAAAAAGGTTAAAAAATAAAGTCATGATAGCAGTTTTTAAAATATTATTTGCATAGTTTAACTTATATTTTTATCTGAATGTTCGATTCATCTTTATTTCTATAGCGCTTTCACAATGTAGATTGCATCAAAGCAGCTTAAGTTCTGGTAAATTTCAACCGCGCCAGTCCAGTTTGCATCTAAACATCTAAAAATATTGAGTTAAACTTAAATAAAAATAAAATAAAACAAAGTTGAAATATAATTAACTTCTTTAAATAAGTTAAAGCACTATTTGAAATAGCATGCTATCAGATATACCGGAATAGTATTGTGTGTGTGTGTGTGTGTGTGTGTGTGTGTGTGTGTGTGTGTGTGTGTGTTTTGTCATCCATAATGGCTCTTTGGAAATGTAAAAGTTTGTTTTTATTCACTAAAAAATGATATGACAAAAAAGTCATGATATTACTTTATTCTTTAAAAGAACTATTCAATTTAAATATTAAATCTTGTTAAATGTATCTTCTAAATATGATATTTAGTTGATCTTTTGAAGGCAAACTGCTGCACTGTAAAAAGCAATTAATTACTTTACCTAAAAATAAAAGTGAGTGACTATAAATTAAGTAAATAAGCTTAAAAGTCTACTTAATAGTTATTTTAAAAGGTAAAGTAATATTAAATTTTTCAGTCATATTATTTTATTCAGTGTATAAAAACTGCAGTTTTTTTCTTCCTAAGAGCCGTTTAGGATGACAAAATACCTCTAAAAATAATGTTTTTAGCTTTTATTATATATATATTTTATTATTATATGCGTGTTAATATTTATAAATGTTGTTTTTATTATTTTATTTTAATTAGATCACAACCTACATTGTCAGGAAAATAATGTTGTATTCATTGAACTTCAGTCTGACTAAATCTGATTTCCAAATGTTAAGTTCAACTTTGTGCAACTTTAACTTATTTTAAGAGTTTAATCCGATTTCATCAAAAGACAATCTAGTTAACATTAAAAACATTTGTAATCATGACTTTTTATCGCAGCTTTTTTTGTAGTGTATAAAAAATACTTTTTTTTTTCCAGAGATTAATTTTAGATGTCAAAAAAATTCAGTTTTTGAGAAAATGCTATTTTAGCTTCTTTTTTTAGCAAAAAATTATTAAATCTTTGTGCTTGTCGTCACTTTTTAAACATCTATCTATAAACTTAAGTCTTTTAAAAACAAATTAATGCAATGTAAAAGCATTTAGTTGAGTTAAAAACAAAAGCAAGTCTTCAAATTATTCAATGAACTATGTGCATAATTAAAAAAGAACTATTAACTTTCATTTTTATAAGTGACTAATTGCTTTTTACAGTGTGCATGGATATTATATACGAGTTTCTGTTTCATTTAATCTCAGAAAGTCAGTAGATTTTGAACACAGCTAACGACTTTAAAACCTCTAGAGTGAGCTGTAAAAGCATCAGCGCCACTCTGGGGTTAAAAACCTCATTAAAATGCCACAAATCGTACTCTGTTTTCTGCACACCTCCACCTTTCACTGGCCCCAAAGGGTGCACTTTGTTGAAAATAAATCTATATATAATGATAAAGTCAAATGCGCAGCTAGTCTGACGGTAATAAATCTAACGCAGTAACCTAATGGCAGGTTCACGGTTTCACAGTGCATTTACCAGTCTGGCTCAAAATCAGCCACAGATGAAGACAGAAACATTAGAGTTACTTTAAATATATTTCCCATGCGCTGTTTCACAGATGCATAAATGTAACTTCTAAAAACGAATGTCTCTTGATTATATTTATTAGTAATTTTGCAAATTCTTCAGCTTAAAGGGACATTTGAAGGCTTAATTATGCAAGATATCAGTGTTTTGTTCATTAGCTGATCAAAAAAATGATCATTTCTTAAGGGAGATAATAATATTGACCTTAGCAGATTTAAATTATTTTGAAAACGCATTTATTTATTCCAAACCAAACTAAAATATGCATCTTATGCAGAAGTAAAACATAAGAGGAAATAGTGTGAATAATGTCATCGCTCTGTTAAACAGCGCTTGGGAAAAAGCTGAAAAAAATGAACAAGAATTTCTCCAATTAAGCTGTGAAGCTTAAAAAGAGTTTGAAGAGCTCAAAAACACCAGCAGCATGTCGAGCAGGCTTTAAAACACCACCACTGAGGTAAAAGACTGCAACAAAACTCCAACAAGATCTCCATGAAGAGAGGGAAACGCGTCTGTAGGTTTTGAAACACAGCCAATGACTCGATGATGAGGAGGAATACATCACTCAATCACTCATCCAATCAATCTAAAAATCCATTCTTTTAAACGTATTTCCCGGCACCTGATGATGTTTAACAGAGAATCTTCAACACATTTTTGGACTAATGTAGAACCAATCATTCCCTCTGTTTTTACTTGGACAGCAGGACTGCACTCTTAAAAATAAAGGTACACAATCTGTCACGTGGTGGTTCCTTTTTGTTCTGAACAGGTCATTAAAGGTACAAACGTGTACCTCAAAGTACATTAAACTTAATTAAAACTAAACCCTAATGGTACTAATGTCCACCTGTTCAGTACAAACGTGGACCATTTGAAAAGGTACCACCCCGCAGGTAGATTTCTAAGAGTGTAGTGCTTTACTGGTTCATTTGCGAGATGATTAGGAAAGTGACTGGACAGCAGAGGTTTGCTCTGTAGACGATCAGAAAGATGAATTCAGTTGCTCTGTTAAACAGCACTCAGGGAAATAATTAGAAAAGAATTACAATTTCTCAGAAGGGTGAGTAATGTTGTCTTCACCTCCTTTTCAGGAGCTTCTCCACTGAGCCATGGCGCTCGTGAACCCTGTTTTAGGAGAGTTTGAGAACCCAGAAGCATTGCTGTTCATCAGACGCAGCTGATTTCTGCCGCTCTAACCAGCCACCATTCTCGACGCACCATTGAAACTTGTGAAGAAACAGCTCCGAGATCTCCATGAAGAGAGGAAAAAGCGTCTGTCGGTTTTGAAACACAGCCAATGATGAGGAGAAGTAAAACACTCAATCAATTAATCACTCACTCACTCAATCAATCACTCAATCACTCAGTGTATGGGTCTCCTAGACGTGCAGCACCGCGGACTCCTGCAGGCCGCTCCTGTAGCGCTCCAGCCAGTCTCTGAGCTCCGCGATCCGGTACCCCTCGGGTCCGCGGCCGCCTTGGTACACCACCGTCGCGTCCTTTACGATGTACAGCCGCTCGAAATACGCGCCGTACGCCGCGTTGCAGGAGTTCTGCATGGAGTCCACGACCACCGCGCTGCCCGCCGCCTCCCGGTGCAGCATCTGCGCGGCGCGGAGCCGGTCCTCCAGGCAGCGGTGCCGCGGGATCTGCACGGGCGCGTCGGAGCTCACCCAGCCGTCGGACGGGTGCGCCTCCTCGATGTACACCAGCAGAGAGTCCGCGATGTCCGCGTACTGCCGCGCGACGCGCTGGAAGGCGCTCAGACGGGTCATGAAGGGCGGTCAGGAGCAGCTGCCGAAGTTGAGGATCAGCGGTCTCCGGCCGCGCGCGTAATCCAGGATGCGCTCTGCCGCGCGCGCGTCTCCGTCCAGCGGGAACACCTCGGTGTTGGGCGCCGCTCCGCCGAGCCGCGCGCTCTTGAAGAAGTCCAGCTTCTGGCCGTACCAGACCGCGCGCAGCGACTCCAGCGTGAACATCTTGTTGCTGTCGGACACGCGCAGCGGAGGGTCGTCGGGGCTGCTGAACGCGCCCTCCTGCATCTTCAGCAGCAGCTTCCGGCGGATGCACAGGAAGTCCAGCAGGCAGAGCATCAGCGCGGCGAGCAGAAAGCGCGGGAGCAGCAGCACACACACCGCCGCGTTCTTCAGCGCAGACTGCACACCTGCGGAGCCCTGCAGCATCTCCATCCCGCGCGCGCACAGGTACTGGCGCACACACACACTCTCTCTCACACACACACACGCGCGCTCTGCTGCTCTCTCTCTGTCTCTCTCTGTGTGTGTGTTTCTCTCTCTCTTCTCCAGCGCAGTCTCTCGCTTTTATAGCTCTAGTAAGGATTTGAATGAGGAGCAACACGCCTCCACCGCCGGCCGGGCCGCCTCCTCACATGGAGGGATTACCTCCCGTCAACTCTCCTGTCTCTCTTTCTCCCCTCTCTCTCTCTCTCTGTGTGTGTGTGTGTGTGTGTGTGTGTGTGTGTGTGTGAGAGAGAGAGAGATAGAGAGAGAGTGTGTGTATGTGGAGAGAGATGGAGATAGCGAAAGAGTGTGTCCGTGCTTGGAGAGAGATCGAGATAGAGAAAGTGTGTAGAAAGTCTGCACAGGGAGAGACGGAGAGTGTGTGTGCAAAGAGAGAGAGAGAGAGATGGAGCGTGTGGAGTGTGAGTGTGTGTGTGACAGATATAGAGAAAGAGAGTGTGTGTGGAGAGAGACATATAGAGAGAATATGTGTTGAGTAAGAGATGGAGTGTGTGTGTGTTTGGAGAAAGGCGAAGAGTGAATTTGCGTATCTGTGTGGAGAGGTGTGTGTTTAGAGAAAGACGGAGAGTGAGCGTGTGTCTATGAACTGTCTGTTCAAGGAGAGTGTGTTTGTGTGTGTGCAGGGAGAGGGAGTGTGTGTTTGGAGTAAAAGAGAATGGGAGAGACTGTGAGTGTGTGTGTCTGTGTGGAGAGAAGGTGTGTGTTTGTCGAGAGAGACTGAGTGTGTCTATGTGCAGGGAGAGAGTGTGTGTGTGTGTTTGTGCGAGAGGGAGAGCGCGAGAGTGTGTGTGTTTGCGAAACGAGAGAGAAACATGTATTTATTTTCTTATTATTTAAATATTATCATCACTTTAATTAAATTTTCTACTTTTATCATTAATTTTGTGCGTGCGTGCGTGCGTGCGTGCGTGTGTGTGTGCAAAGAGAGGGAGAGCAAATTCTGAATTGTTATAAATGAATCCTAAAATGTTGACTGTGAAATGTTGTTTTTAATTCATTCATTCATTAATTTTCTTCTTGGCTCAGTCCTCATATTAATCAGGGGTCGCCACAGTGGAATGAACCGCCAACTATTCCAGCATATGTTTCATGCAGCGGATGCCTTTCCAGATGCAACCGAGAACTGGGAAAATATTCTTTATATATTTGTATTTTTCAGCTCTTTTGTTTTTAATAATTTTGCAACAATTTCACGTTGTCATTATGGGGGATTGTGTGTAGAATGTTGAGGAAATAAACCAATTTAATCCATTTTGGAATAAGGCTGTCTCATAAACAAATGTGGAAAAAGTGAAGCGCTGTCAATGCTTTCTGGATGCACTGCATCTGCTATAAAAAGTCCGACTGTTACATTATAAAACATCAATAAATGGCTTGCGTCAAACAAAAATCAAGAATTGCAGTAAATGTTCATTATGCACTGTTTTATGAGCATGCCAATAAACAAATACTATTTCTGCTAAAGATTATAATAAAACATTGAATTCAAAGCAGTCATCAGTAACTGAATAGAAAAACAATCTGCATCTCAAGAATGAACGGACAAAAGAAAGCAAGAAAAGTCTCACTTCCACCACTCTTTAAAGTTCTGGTTTGGGTTTGTGTCTTGTGTTTGTTAAAGCTTGTTTGGCATGCTGTCCTGGGAGAGAGCCCTAAGCTCATAAGATTCTCGAGGCTGGGGCTCCCTCCCGTTTGCAAGGCGAGAGGGGAGTTTGTGGAACTCCCCTGCTGTAGTAGCTCATGAACAGATAGCGATCGCTCTTACTTACTAGGAGCATGTCTATGGTGCTAATTTGAATTAGTCAATTAACCTAAGTTGCATGTTTTTAGACCGTGGGAGGAACCCGGGGGAAACCCACCTGAGCACGGGGAGAAAGTGCCAACTCCACACAGAAACATCTGCTGGTTTGGTAAAGCCTGGAACCAGTGATGTTCTTGCTGTGAGGCAACAGTGCTAACCACTGGGCCACCGTGTCAGCCATCAAGGAAGAAGGAGGAGTAGGGGTGGAAGGGGGGACTCTTCAAAACGAAGATAGCGGTGTGTAACCCAGGGTATTTGTAGTAGCTTAGGAGTCGTCTGATTGGTGCATTGAGAATTGGATAATGCGGATCCAGCCGCTAGCAATCAGAAGCACGTGATCCCCTCGACATTAGCTTATAAATAAACCACGTCTCGTTGATTTGCTTTTTTCTGTGTTTGTGGAAGAAAGCAGGCGAGTCAGCCGACCTAAAATACGAGAGGGGCAGAGCAGGAATCTCTCAATGGCCATCTGCACAATACTGCTCTTTTTCATGAGCGACAGTTTCGGTTTAAACTTAGTACAGGCAAGATTCTTTGGCGATGATGTATGCAGTTATAGTTTTTACATTTAGCGCTGAACGCGCAGTGAATGCAACGCCTCGAGATTCAGGCCATTAAACAGCTGATCCACCAAGTCTTTCAGCACTCTCTCCGAAAACACTTGATAGATCTCGGCTGGCGGATCAACATTCGCCACATGGTCGCTCTTATCAGCACCAATATTTAAAACTCCTGTTTTAAATTTGGGTGGGTTTGCAAATCACAAAAGCTCCCTTTTATCTGACAGCAGAAATCCTTGAGTGATTGACAGCTAATATTAACCAATATAGCGGCAAGGAAAAGTGATTCAGCACAATTATTCAATTCAATTCAATTCAGCTTTATTTGTATAGCGCTTTTACAATGTAGATTGTGTCAAAGCAGCTTTACATAAATGCTCATAGTAACTGGAACAGTGTGGTTCAGTAACTGGAACAGTGTGGTTCAGTTTTTAGTGTTTCAGTTCAGTTCAGTTTAGCTCAGTTCAGTGTGATTTGAAGTCATTACTGAGAGTTCAAACACTGAAGAGCAAATTCATCGATGTGTAGCTCTACCAATCCTGAACCATGCAAGCCAGTGGCGACAGCAGAGAGGGGAAAAAAAACTTCACCGATAGGAGAGTGAAGAAAAAAAAAAACTTGAGAGAACCAGACTCAGTTCGGCACGACCATTTTAATTTCTCTGCTGGCCAAAAGTCTTGTGCAGAGCTGCAGTCTCAGCGGTGGAGGCTGGAAGCTGGCCTCAGCGAAGACTCGTCTGTCCCTGTAGCGTCACTGGAATCAGTCTCATACTCTCCACTCCCCATGACCATCAGCGCAGCAGCAGCAGCTCTGGATACAGCCTGGTCCCGGATGATGGGAAAATTAAAGAAAAAAAATCAGTAGTTTGCACTACAGCCATTAAATGCAGTGCCAAATATATTATGAGGTCGCATAGATTCAATTTCAGGCACATATGCGACCTAAATGGTTTTTGAAGAAATTGTAAAGGTTTTGTAAATAAACTAGGATTAAAAGATCTGTTCGACTCTCTGTGATCAGCTGCAGCTCAGGAATGAGTCTTACAAGTTTAACATGTTTTTCAAACAGAGCAAGTTTGGGATAAAAATGCCAGAATCACCACAGCCACATAGTGTCAGTAAAAGCTTGTGGGTGTATTATAGTTTCAGAAAGGCTTAAATAAACTACTAACTAACAGTATTTTTGACTAATAAACTGGATCTCTGCTTCATCTGTGTTTGTTTCTGTCACTGACTGCTGTTTATCTGACGTCAAAGTGGGCAGATTCTGCACTGTATGATAGATAATCTGATGAGTATTTTGAGCTGAAACTTTAGACGTTCTGGAAACACCAAAGACTCATCTTACGCCTTGTAAAAGAGGAGCTCTTTAATGCATCTGTGCTCTTAATGCAGACATGTTTTAATAATAGTTGTAATTTTAAGATTGAGACAGAAACATGCTAATACTTGATGGATTGCCATGACACAAGTCACATGAGATGGTAAATGTATCAGGAAGGCATTGGTGATTTTAATGCAGGACATTCTTAAAGGGTCACGAAACACCAGAACAAATGTTTTGAGCTGTTGACAGTCGTATATGTGTCCCACTCAGCTATAAACACTATTAGGACACGTATATCTCACTAGCAACTGAAAATTGGTTGTTTTTTCGTTATTTCCAGCAAATTCGTTCTTTCGGTTTGAAACTAAATTTAGAAGCTGCGTCACGGCCATGAGATCCTTGTGTGTTTTCCACACAATGTCTGTACCTGCGAGTGCATGGTGGCGTCTCCGAGTGTGCTGCATTCATTCATGAGAAAGGCTTGGCTCAAACCAATCAGCGCGCTCTATCGTATATTAGGTGCAGCTTCATTAATATGCATGATAGCTTTGAAGACTGTTTTACTGGTTACAGTGTTCAGAGGGCTGAGAGACGACACGTTGTGTTGCCAAAACAAGAGGAAGAACACGAATTGTTCAGAGATGTGGGTCGTCAGGGTTGCATTTATTAATGTGCTGCAATGAAGGTTTTGTTTTCATTTCCCCGTTATGAGAGCGCAGCAGGACTCACGTGTGGATCACAGTGCACACGACAGAAATACATTTGTACCAGAGCTTTTCTTGTCTAGAAATGTTGAAATCTGTGTTTGCTGCTCGTCTCCTTTTAGTAAAGACGCGGCTCCAGTTGGTGTTGATTGTGCTGTCTCTACAGATTTGGTAAGTGTGTGATCAGTGCTCTTTTGTTTGTTTATTCAGATGGCAAAGTTAGTTGGTATGGTCAGCAGTACTCTTTCAGTGTTTAAAGACAGACCATAGTCTAAATGATTGAGTTACTCAGTTTACAGTAGGTTAATATCACTACATTATTATGGGCTGACAGATCTGCTGTAAATGCTGCTCTCCGAGTGTAAACATGTAAACACCACAATCAAACTATTACCGTCGTGGAGGATTTTCGCCACATGTGACAGGATAGTCTACACACACACGGCTTTCTGACATTACCTACCGAGTGCATCAAAGTTACAGAGAAATGCGGAGGGTTTCATTCTCTCATTCGCCATGCGGTATCAAACACTCCATTAAAACTACACTCTTCCAGCAGATCCTGCATCCAGTATCTGGTTTGTCACGGGGGGCATGCAGGAAATGCTCCTGAATGAAAGTGAAAGAGCC